AGGCCTCTGTTCTGTTCCATTGGTCTATATCTCTGTTTTGGTACCAGTACCATGCTGTTTTGATTATTGTAGCCTTGTAGTATAGTTTGAAGTCCGATAGTGTGATGTCTGGTGTTCTGGTTTGGGGTGTTTTCCTCCTTTTTGTGCTGGTTTCTTCCCATCTTTGTGGATTTATCCACCTGTTGTCTTTGTAGTTGCTGATTTTCATATTGGGTCTCTGAGTGGGAAGTCCAGTTGAAGATGAAGTTATTTCTGTTTCTTATTTTTCCTTCTAACAGTCTGGCCCCTCTGCTGTAGGACTACAGAGGTCCACTCCAGGCTCTGCTTGCCTGGGGATCACCTGCAGCAGCTGCGGAACAGTTCGGGTTGCTACCAGTTTCTTCTTCTGCTATCTTTGTCCCAGAATGATGCCTGCCAAATGTCAGTCTGATCAGTCCTTTGTGAGGTGACTCTTTGGATATACGGGGGTCAGGGAGCTGCTTAAGGAGACAGTATGTCCTTTATAGGAGTTCAAGTGCTGAGCTGTGAGCTCTGTTGTTCAGAGCTGCTGGGCAGGTATGTTTAAGTCTACTGCAGCAGAACTCATAAACCCCTCTTTTTTTACCCAGGCGCTCTGTCCCGGGGAGTTAGGGCTTTATTTATGGGTTTCTGTTGTGCTGCTGCCTTTTTTTTCAGGGCTGCCCTGCCCAGCAAGGAGGCAGCATAGTCACTGTCTGCCTGCAGAGGCTTTGCTGAGCTGCTGTGGGCTTTACTGTACTGCCACGTGGACTTCCCAGCGGTCCTGTTTATATGGGTGCGGTTAGAACTGCCTTGGCAATGGTGGCCTACCTCTATAATGGCAGACTCTCTCTGTAGTGGCGGGTTGCCTCGGCAACAGTGGGCTGCCTCAGCAATGGCAGACTACCTCCGTAGGGGTGGAGTGCCTCAGTAATGATGGACGCCCCTCCCGCTCAGAGCTGGACCATCCCGGGTTCAGCTGTGCTTGCCATGAAATTCTCAACCCAGGGCGTTTCCAATTGCTGCGGTTTTTTTTGTGTGTGGTGGGGGTGGGACCCGCCAAGCCTGATCACCTGGCTCCCTGCCTGAGAGCCTTTTTTTTTTTTTTTTTAAACGTTGAATGGTTGACTCTCTCCCAGGTGTTCCAGTCGCCTGTTGAGAAGGCGCCGGGCTCTGTGTGATTTCCCATGCGGCGACCCACTGCACCGGCTGAAACAATGGTGCTGCCTGAGAATCTCCTGGCCTGGCTCCCTGTTTCTGTCCCCTGTTTAATCAGATGAGTGGGCGACTGCCTTCCTGGAGCTCCAATTGCCAGCTTAAAAGGGAACCAGACCAGTGTATTTTGTATGGAGATCCACCACACTGGGGTGCTGGCAAAATAGCCACGCCAGCCAAAACAGCCGTGCTGGCGACCTGTGGGGCTCCTCCGCCTGGGGAATCTCCTGGCCTGTGGGCAATAGATATCAATCTGGAAATGTGGTGTCCACTCACTGCATTCATTGGGAGCTGCAATCCTGAGCTGCTCCTAAACTGCCTCTTGGATCCTCTCCGGGAAAGTTTTATGAAGTAAGGCGATGTTTACAACTCCAAGTGTAGGCAGAAAATTTAAAACATAATTCCTAACTTAAGAAATGCAACTCCATCTTACAAGATTTCTGAAATAAACTGTAGCTCCCAGGTTTCTGATGATCTACTAATGAGAGTTTAATATTGCTCAGAATTTAAGTAAATCAGTATTTTTTCCCAAAACATAAAAAATTTGGCTAGAGAAGATGATCTACTTCTCTTCTTGTTCTTGAAGAATGAAACTGCCAAAAATGTCTACAAAGAATATCTGGTATGTTCTGCTGAATGCAAGTAGTCAAATATTCTGCATCAAGTTTCACAAGCATTTTACCTTATAAAATGGAAAATCAGTCTTTACAAGAAAGGCATAATGAAATCTAATATTCATTTATTTTGTCACACAGAATGCTCTTTGAACAACAAATCATGTGCTTATTGATTAGGACTATCCAGTTACTGCATTTCAATTTAAAGTGCCAGTTCCATGTGGCTACCAATTTACTACAGGATGCAATTCCAGATTCTCTTTGTCTAAAGCATGAAAATGTGAAAATGAGATGAGTAGTCAATAGTAAATCATCCGTCATCCAGCCTAGTCAGGGTACGAAGTAGCCAACAGTGGTGACAGACACATAAAAGGAAGGGTGGACGATGTTCAGACCATTATACATACTTCCTTATTTGCAGAAACAATACAGCAAGCATGACTCAGTATGTTCACTTTAACTCAGAATCAACTGTAACACTATGCTAGACCATAACTTGATTTTTAAAGGACTCTTCCCAGACCACTCTGTTATTTACTGGGATGAGGAAGGTTTAGTATTCTTGTTAGGAAAAGGAGACCTTATTTCTAGTCTGGTTCCTGCCACTAACAGCTGTGTAACTTTGTGCATCTCTCTGGTCATCAAGCTACTCATCAGTAGTACTCTGAATTGGTTTTCAAACTTTTTCTCTTTTAGCATCAGAATTCCTTCTGCATATGAAGCCAAATAATAGATAATGCCAGAACTGCTCCAGCTGAAGAGGCTCAAAATTCCACCCACCCACCTCCACCATTGCCACCCCTGAAGAGTTCCAGGGAGTGCTGTCTTTATATAGTTGTGTACTTCCTCAGAACCATTACAATTCTCTTTAAGTCATGGCTTCCCCGTTTTTCTTGGTCTGCAGCTATTCTGCAGGGCTAAGGATTGCTATCCATTATGTAACCACAGAACTGAGGAACCAATATTCTTATAAGTTAGATATAGTTAGCTATAATTCCCATTACTCAATAACTTATTCTCCCTGCTTATTCATCTGGGATGCTTCAAGTAGTTACCTTGTTTAATCCCATCATTACACATAAGTGATAGCCAGGCTTCTAGGTGAAGGGGGCATCTGATACTGTGGGACATTTAGAACATACAGCTCTGTTCAAGCCCTCAGGAAAAATGACAGTCCTACCACAGTGGCATTCATTGTACTTTAGGACAAATATTCAAGCCCAGGAACAGAAGGAAGGAAAAGAACACTTTCTTTGCTCACTGACTATGCTAATCTATCAGAACCTATTAAATATGAAAAAGAAGTATAAAATAACTAACCTATGTCACATAAATTTGTTTGATCATCAAAAGCATCTAACTGTATGGAAAAAAAAACAAAAACAAAAACAATCTGCTCTTGGGCCAGGGGTGCTGGCTCTGCCTGTAAGCCCAGCCACTTTGGGAGGCTGAAGTGGGTGGATCACCTGATGTCAGGAGTTTGTGACCAGCCTGGCCAACATGGAGAAACCCATTTCTACTAAAAATACCAAAATTAGCCAGGCATGGTGGCAGGCACCTATAATCCCAGCTACTGGGGAGGCTGAGGCAGGAGAATCACTTGAACCCGGGAGGTGGAGGTTGCAGTGAGCCGAGATTGTGCCACTGTACTCCAGCCTGGGTGACAGAGCAAGACTCTGTCTTGAAAAAAAAAAAACAACCAAAAACAACAAAAAAAACCCCTCTGCTCTTGGGCTCCACTCTGGACCTACTGACACAAAATCTAAGGGTGTGTGGTTGTGAGTGGATTTTGACAATCATCTGGGGTTGGGAACCAGTGCTCTAGATATCAAAATAATAAATGCCATAATATCTTGCAGTTCTTGCTGACATAAATTTGAATAGTGGCATATATTGAAAGATGACAAGATATGAGCATGCCAGCTTTCTTTCTTAGGAATTCTGTACAGAGATATGTCTTCTCTGAGGGACATGGCAGCAAATATGGTTGAGTTTTAATCCCAAATCAGCATAGGTGGTTATTGTTTGAGTAGGACCTGTGGGCTTACACTGAAGGATCTCTGAGACGGCAGGTCAGTAACAGGCTATCCTCCTCCTCTCTTGGAATCCACCTCAGAAAACAATTTAGTTACTCAAGGTGGCACGTGCCTGTAATCCCAGCTACTCAGGAGGCTGAGGCAGGAGAATTGCCTGAACCCAGGAGGCAGAGATTGCAGTGAGCCGAGATCGCGCCATTGCACTCCAGCCTGGGTAACAAAAGCAAAACTCCGTCTCAAAAAAAAAAAAAAAAGGGCTAAGCTGATAGAAAAACACTTGGACCTATAAACAATCTGAAATTTATACCCTAGGACAGGCTTTTCCTTAGAGTGGGAGGTTATAGGTGGGAGAGCTCAAAGCTACTAAGCACCAAATTTTATTTTTCCAAGTGAGGCACTTAATTTGTTCCCTGTTTCCCCAGAGAATAATGACAGGAACTATTAAAATTCAGCATCATGCATGGTTCCTAGTGTATCCAGCAAAAAGCTCTTTGTTCTACTTCCAAACCAAGTATTTTAAGCCAAAACTATACAGGTTTATAGAGTTCCAAATTTTCTCCAGCTAGTACTTTAATAATCTAAATAATTATTTATAATTCTTTATTTTGCTAATACCTGAGCAAAAGGAATATTACTTTGACTTCCTGAGACTATGCATTTAACTCGCAGTGAAGAGAGCACTTGAATTCAGAGACTTGGATTCATACCCTGGCTGTCACTGATTTGGAACCTTACAAGACAACCTCCCTAAGCCTCAATTTCCTCATTCACAAAGATGTCTTCCTTATTGGAGACATGGGAAGACTGAATGAGGTACTTGGATTGTGTGTAAAACAACCAGCAAGATGCTGCAGTACCACCTTCTCCATACAGCCTTCTCCATTTCGCCCCAGGACTTCTCCTATCTCATAATTTCTTTTGTCAGAATCATGTAATTCTGTTATTTTCTGTGTTTTGATTTCTAAAATCTCAAAGGAACAATAAGATATGATTACTGTGTGTTGATTTTTTAAATCTCAAATATGATTACTGCCTACTTGGAGTCTACACAGTCTTGGTTTTTCTATTGTGTCTAGGACAGTTCTTCATAAAGATTTTTTGTTTAAACTGATTACTCATCTTCTTTTCTCCACAGGTGACCTTGGTTTGGCCACCTTTTCAGAAGATTTATCTCCAGAAATATTATAGAACCAGTTTGTTCTACTACAAACTTACCAATACCCATGATAGAGGGATCACATCCAGCTACGAAGTAGCCCACGATTCTTGCCAGTGGTGTGAAGTTATGTTTCTTAACAGCATTTTCACTAGCTATGATAACAGCTCCAGCACCATCTGCTATCCCCTTGAAAATAAAAATACTAGATTATCTAAAAGCTAAAATAATGGAGTAGTATTACTATTGGAGTAGTATTAGGAATATGGCAGTACATAGGAAGCCACTGCACAATGTGGGATACAATTAGAACTCCATCTGTAGATGAAGGAGATATTTAAAGACACAGAATACAACTTTACTAAATGAAAAGGAAAAGGGTGTCAAGGAAAAACTTTTATCTAGATGTGAGTAGATGTAAGAAGAAATCTGATGAACTGTATGCATGAGGAAAAAAAGCTTGAAAGCCAAATAATAAACCAGATAGATTTCTTTTCAACGTTCTGAAAAAAACTAAGAAATCAGAAGAGTGTTATATAAATATGAAAAGATTTTGTGTGGGACTGTGAAAAACCAAATTAATTGAATATGAACACTATTAGTTTAAGCTAAACACTAAAGACTGGCATAAAAAGTATTTACAAGATACTTCATGGTTATTTTGTGTTGACCACATCAGGAAGAATTCAAGCTAATCTGTGGGGATACCAACCGATGCATTCCCTGCAGTGACAGTTCCATCCTTCTTGAAGACTGGAGGAAGTTTCTGTAACTGCTCCAGGGTTGTTTGGGGCCGAGCATGCTCATCTACCTCCATTATCTGTTTTCCTTTCTTTGTCTTCACTTCAATTGATGCCATTTCATTATTAAAGAAGCCAGCATCATTAGCTAAAATAGTAGAAAGACTATCATAAGAATAAAAAAAAGAAACATGAAAATAAACATTCTTCAATTTAATTTCTGATCTACCCTTTCCTCACAGTCTGCTTTAATTTGAGTCTTTATTATTTACTTACACAACTTACCTTCCCTATTGGAGGATTTACAATACCGTCATGTGTTTCTATAGATGCATGTTACATCTTTTAATAATTGTATTTTAATTTTTTTAACCACAATTTTTTTGATGAGGCACTGCTAAAACTGTTAGCAGCATTTGTCTCTTAGCTATAGACGTAATGGCACCAAATGGATTTAATGCCCCTTTTAAACTTCTTTTGGTGAGATGCTTAATTAAAAAGTTACCAAGAAGTCTATGCCACAAAGTACTCTAACTGAAACTTAATAGTGATAGGCAACCTGAAGAAATTATGAGAGCGATCACTAATACAATTATCAGTAAAACATCTTACCTATTTTGACCCCCACTGACTGGAATGTACTGTAGTAATCTACAGCTTCAGAAATAGGGTAATACCCACCTTAATTTTGCTATCACTTTATAATTGGCAAAATACTGTCCTTATATACCCTTATTTGGTTTTAAAACAACCTTATTAGATAAACAGGGAAGGCAAATATTGTTATCTCTATTTTACAGAGGTTCAGTGAATAAATGATTTGACTGAGCTTGATAACTTGTGTACGGTAGAGCTAGAAATATAACTGATAACTCTTGACTTCTAGACCAATCCTCTTCCACTATGAACATATAACTAAAAAGCACAGATGAGTTGGATGGCATCAGCTCTATTCCACTTATCCTTCTGAAATGCTAAGATGGATTTTATTCACATTGCTTCAAGCATTTAATATTCCTAAAGAGTTTCCACTTGCTTTAACAGTTTAATTTTTAAAATATCACATTTCTTCAACTTGCTGCACTGATAAAACAACTGCTATCATGTTGCCTGTTTTTGGACTGGCTCTGTAGCAACCTGCTGTGCTACACCATGGCACTCTAGAGTCTTGGACTAGTTCTAAGTCTGAGTCAGGTGCAATGATTCTTTTTTTTTTTTTTGAGACAGAGTTTCGCTCGTCACCCAGGCTGGAGTGCAATGGCGTGATCTCGGCTCACCGCAACCTCCACCTCCTGGGTTCAGGCAATTCTCCTGCCTCAGCCTCCCGAGTAGCTGGGATTACAGGCACGCGCCACCATGCCCAGCTAATTTTTTTTTTATATTTTTAGTAGAGATGGGGTTTCACCATGTTGACCAGGATGGTCTCGATCTCTTGACCTCGTGATCCACCTGCCTCGGCCTCCCAAAGTGCTGGGACTACAGGCGTGAGCCACCACGCCCGGCCAAAAGAGAAATTTCTAGTTAATTTTGCAATAATTAATAAAGTAGCTGATCATCTAAAAACAAAGGAATAATGAAAAGATGATGTAAAAATTCTTAAAGGTATGATTTGTAAATATTATATAACCATAATAGAAATGATGAAAATATTTCCTATATTCTATAAATATTGATATTTTCCAGTTTCACTCACCAGCTTTCCATCTCTGCTGCGACTGCAGAGCATATTTGTCACATTCTTCTCTGCTTATTTTGTGTTTCACAGCAAGGTTCTCTGCAGTAATTGCCATGGGGAGTTTTATATGCTGATCTGTTAATCCTACCCACAAATAATCTTCCAGCTAAAGACATTAACAAAGTGATTTGTTAAGGCATTACTTTTAAAAAGTAATATAATTTCTTTATATAATCAACACTTCCAATAAACAAAATTAAGACTTTCTCATAAACATTTACTATTACTATTCTTATTCAGTTCTGGGATTTTTTTTTTTTAAATGCAATGTTTTGAAAACATTCAATGTCACACAATAAAATGCACATATTCTCTGCCCCTCTCTAAATGTGGGGGTCTAAGGACAGCCAACAGGATTAGATGTGTATGGTGAGATCACAGAAATTGTTTTACCATCAAAAATTAAAGCCTCAAGGTCATATTTTGTAGAAAACCTGACAAGGAGTCTTCATGCAATGTTTTCTTGTAACCACCTTTGTAAACCAGCTCTGAGCTCTTTAATAAAGGGTATATCTGTGTTTCTTTTTCATCCTGTGCCTCAGTGACAGGAATAGTTCATTCTAACGGTACTATGCGGCTGAAAAGAACTTGGGACAGGCTCCCAGAGTTACAGAAAGGTTATTAATTATTATTTAAGTAGAGTCTTCGGTAAGCGTGCCCCATTTTGCTGCCTCATCAACGTTTGACTCACTGACTTGTCTTTGTAAAGGATTTCTCCAATGTGTTTGGTGGCTAAAATACTCATAGATTCTCTTTTCCTTTCAACTTCCAAAAAGGCCAGGTGAGAAACTGGGTGAACAGTGTAAGTCAAATATTACTATTGAAAATGCTAAAAAATATAAAATGTCAGTAACCCTTTCACATGGGAATGAGAAGAAAACTTAATTTCATTCTCAAGTTGTAAGCTCTCAAAGATAAAAGATCAGTATTTGTTTCATTTGGGACAATATAATCTGTATTCAAAGATAAAGTTTTCTGTGAAGAATAGGAAATCTATTCTGAGATTGAGAAACAAAATTTACTCAGATGACTAACTTTAAGTAGATTACTTCACTCTTTTGCCCATCTTTTTTTTTTTTTTTTTTGAGACAGAGTTTCGCTGTTGTTACCCAGACTGGAGTGCAATAGCACGATCTCGGCTTACCGCAACCTCCGCCTTCTGGGTTCAAGCAATTCTCCTGCCTCAGCCTCCCGAGTAGCTGGGACTACAAGCATCCACCACCATGCCCAGCTAATTTTTGTATTTTTTTTAGTAGAGACGGGGTTTCACCTTGTTGACCAGGAGGGTCTCGATCTCTTGACCTCGTGATCCACCCGCCTCGGCTTCCCAAAGTGCTGGGATTATAGGTGTGAGCCACCGCGCCCGGCCTTTGCCCATCTTTTTAATCCACTTCTTCCCTTCCTCCATCACTCCCATGCCTATGGCCCCTTACACAGGATAATTACACTACTAAAGTTCTGCTGAGATAGAATCTAGTTTCATATGGTTAAAATGTCAAAACCAACAACCAAAATAGAGTTTTGAAATAGTTTACAAGTCGGGTGTGGTGGCTGACACCTGTAATTCAAGCACTTTGGAGGTCAAGGCGGGAGGATCACCTGAGGTCGGGAGTTCAAGACCAGCCTGACCAACATGGTGAAACCCTGTCTTTAAAAAAAAAAAAAAGAAAAAAAAAAAAGAAATAGTTTACAAACTTCAGATCATTCAAATCTTGAATCTTGCCAATCCTCATCAAAAAAACTGGTTTCAAAATTAGTTTTCTCTCCCATAAAAGGTATGTTATTAAAATTACTTACATAATGCTAATAAGAACTAATTACTTAAAGTTTTTATGGTTCCAACCTTGATATCTGATCCAAGCTTGGTTCCAAAACGCACACTTCTGACACAGTAGGGAGCTTGGCTCATGCTTTCAGTTCCTCCACATAAAACAACTTCAGCTTCTTTCACACAAATTTCCTATTTAAAAACAACAATAAAAACTCCTTTTACCATACCCAAACAATGTATTAAGAAACATACTGATTTTACAAATTAGTGGTGATTCTAACAAATATTTTGCCCTAGCTTATAGTGTTTCAAAAGGAAATGCTAAAGTATCCATTACCAAGATATAGGGGGAGAAAACTAAAAGGTTTCAGTCATGTTTGCCTGAGTAACAGACCCTACCTACATTTGGCTAAGAATATTAATTCTTAACAGAATATAAATCTTGAAAATCAGCAGAGATATTAAGGTCTGACATAAATGTACAACAGATAATAAAGGATAAACCCTTTAAAAAGGCAAAAGAAGCACTTTGGGAGGCCAAGGTGGGCGTATTACAAGGTCAAGAGATCGAGACCATCCTGGCCAACATGGTGAAACCCTGTCTCTATTAAAAAAATACAAAAATTAGCTGGGCCCGGTGGTACACGCCCTGTAGTCCCAGCTACTCGGGAGGCTGAGGCAGAATTGCTTGAACCCCTGAGGCAGAGGTTGCAGTGAGGTGAGATCCTGCCACTGCACTCCAGGCTGGTGCCTGGTGACAGAGCCAACTCTGTCTCAAAAAATAAAAAATAAAAATAAACAGGCAAAAGAAAAAT